TCGGGGCCTCTCAGTTGCTTGAATGACCCCTATAAAAATGCTTGCCCTGTTTTTTTCACGTGAAAGTCATTTTGACATCTGACAAGAATAAAGACTGACTGTAGTTGAAAAATAACGTCTATACCCATCTCCCCCACAACCCCATCTGCATCAAGACCCTAAAACAAGGGCTCTGGGCCCTTCTCCCCACTCCTCTATCATAGACAATTTTCTTTTCCTCATTCATGCTTCCAAAACAGTTTATCTTTTTATCTCCTTGGAAGAAAAGTACTCGGCAAATCAAAGGTATCATTAGTATTGTTATTATTTCCCTATTGAAATCTCTTGAATTCACTCTGGATTATTCATGTGCTTTTTTTGGGTCTGCAATATAATACTGCCTAAGTCACCCCCACTGGGTTGAACAAAAAAGAAAAATTGCATCTTCAGGCCTAATCCCCTGCTCCACCCGTCTCCTGCTGGCCCTGGCTTGTACCAACACAGGCACACACCAGCGGGGCTGATCCTTGGTACCATGCCTAGCTCACTGCTGCCATGTTCCAAGCCAGATCCTCCTTCGTACACCCAAGGGGGGCCATGGTATCCACGCTGAGCAATAGGAAGGCGTTGACCACGCCCACACCCTCTGATCCCCCTGGGGAGTTTCTTTTCCATCCTCAATAGGTCTGGTGACAACAGAGTGCTCCCTGTTGGACAGCAGACACTGTGACTGCCCCCACACCCAACAAACAGCATGTTCTGGTTCTCCACCCGGAAGATTTGTTAAAGAAGTGGTCCCACACCCTTGGCAGTTGCGTGCTGACCTTCCAGGACAAAGGAAGTGCTTCTTCCTCCCCAAGACAAGATGTCATAGCGCTTGGGGTGCCAGTGCCAGTGGCGGGGAAAATCACACTGATTACTTGCCTCGTCTTTTGTTATTTGGCATTTCTGGGTAGGTTAAGTGCTTCCAAGGTTGCTGCTCATTCCAAGTTTACTGTTCTGATCCTTTCCTCCCGATCCTCCTCCCCTCCCTTTCATCCTCTGGGCCATCTCTGATGTGCTTTTGCTGTCTTCTGATGCTCTGTCCCCTTCTTTTCTCTCCCCAAGGGAGCTCCTGGCAAGTTAAAGCTTCTTGCAGTGTCTTCTCCTTCCATGCTTCTTGTCACCCAGTGGCTCCCTTCACCCTGGCTGGTTCTCTTCACCCACTCTGACTTACCCTTTTGTCTACTCGATGTTCTCTTATTCTCTTGGAGATTCAGGATGCCCTAAACCTCTGCCATCCTGATTTCCCTTTTGATGTTTCCTGCCAATGGAGAGAGCAAGTGGGCTGCTTAGAGTTTTCCCAACAGGGATGTGGTGTCCCAAATTAATTCTCAGCTCAGATATGCCATTAACCGGCAAATGCAAGTTTTTACTTTCACCCTCATATGTTTAGAGTAGCAAGGTGCATGTGCAAAGCCAATCAGACATCTGGGTTCAGCAGAAATAGAACTTTCTGAACCTCAAAGTCACTGGGCAGGACAGGAGGCTCTGGCAATGCCAGAAACATCTGTCAGAGACTGGGGAAATAAAGGTTCTTAGAGTGACTGAAGTAAAGTCCACCAAGTCTGCACCACTGCGCATCCCCCAAACTATCTTAGAACTTGCGATGTGATGGAAGCAGGGAGCCATCAGTCCTGCTGAGGCATTATTTTTCCAAAGCTACCTAGATGTGCATGCACAGGCTGGTTGGGATGATGCTTGAAGATTAAGGAGGGCATAGAAGGAAATAGTTGGGAGCGAGCTGAAATGATAAGGGGAAAAAATATAGCAAGTTCTAAGTTTATGGATGACAAGAGAATCGATTCTTCTTCACCCAGGGGCAGAACATGCCGTTTCTCCGCAGGAGGCAAATTGTGCTGTGACATTATCTCTCTCTGTACAAAGCACGACCATCCTGACAGATGAGGGAAGAGGCATCCCCAGCAAGAGAGAAACCCACAAACAGCACACACTGGCAGCTCTCCATTTTCTTGTTGGGAGCCAAACTCAGGGACATTGGCAGGGGCCGGAATGGAGGAATGTAATTTAGCCTTTCTATAGCCACCTTAAGAAAGATAAAGAAAGAATCATATCTACATGAAAAACTCAAACTTTAAAAGAGTAAAGATGCAGCATACTAGTGACATTAATTATACATTAATTTCTGCTCCCTCTCTAAAGGGAGGGATGGAAGAAAGTAAAGGTGAATAAATATATTCAACAAATTAGGAGGGAAAGGATGGTTGAAATAAACTTTAAACATTCACTTGCACTTTTGCTCTTAAAGTCTTCAGAGCATTGTTGGAGCTCTTGCTTTGCTTAGGAATGAAGACCTTGGGAGCAGAGGTCTTGGACTATGTTCCCAGAAACTCCAAAATGACTTGCAGGATTCCACTGTGAGAGGTGTTGGGCAGCAGATGGCCATATCACCAGAGTGCCAGATAAGGCCCTAAATATAACCCTGGACGCTTGTTCTCTCTGAGTGGAGAGGGACATCCTGAGTCTCTGCATATTTCCTTGCAAATGCATCCGTACAGGAACAGCGTGGGGGCAGGCAAGTGATTTTGTGTGCATGTATGAGGTAGGGGTGGTCAGGTGGGGTTGCACCCTCATTCCTCAGTCAGGGGGACAATAGTGGGGACCATCTATATTCACTTGGGCTCATCTTCTTGTGTATATACCCTATCCCATAACTGGATGAATGTAGGGTACTGGGTGGGGTGGGGTACCATATATGAGTTATGCAAAGCGGGTCACAGAATCCTCTGAGGAATTCACAGTATTCCAAACAACATCCATGTTTTTCAAAATGTCCATGGATCAAATCAAAGGTATCCCCAGCATACCAATGAAGTCCATCAAACATCTTTTCTCATTACCCTTAATTGCTATTAGTCAGATGTTCTCCATTCAAGATCCCTACAGTGTCCAGTGAGGCCATTCTGACTGGCTATGTCCACTTTAATCTCTGAGTCTTTCTTGAGACCTGTTTTAGTTTCTTGTGTATCTACCACTTGGAGGGATGGGTAGTGCTAGCCAAACTCAGAACACTCAGGGATAAAAGGCATTTTGAACTGTATGATGCTGTGGTTTTTTCCCAGTTTCCTCAGGGCTAAGGGTAGATGAAGTAGAGCATTACACTCTATAGGTAAATATTTAAAGGTTCATCATATGAGGCAGTCAAGGAATAGCTTGGTATTGAGAACGGAGGAAGCAAAGTAGAGGATGCACATTATAATGATTCAGACAGGAAGAGAGGCATTTAAACACCTATAGGCTTCTTATGCCAATCTAGAGAATAGCAGATCAAGCCTCTAAAAATACAAAAGACTGGTTAAAATTTGCACTAGTCCCATGCAAATATGTGTATGAGGCAGAGGTGAGGGGAATGGTTGGAAGATTCCCTCTTCCTCTCAGGGATTCAAATGCAACTTCCTGAGTGAACTGGTAAGAGTCAGAGAAGAATGGAAGTCAGGGTGCATATACGTGTGTGTGCGTGTATGTGCACACACCCATAAGCAAGCACATGCACTTCCAAGGAAGAGGGTAATCTCACAAAATGGTAATATAACTGAATCTGTTTCTATAACACTGTTCTGGGATAGTTCTTATTCATTCAGCCTGAAAACTCTGGAGAAGGCAATTTATCTTCCTGCTGCTGTAGGGAGTCCTGGTGAGATGCATACAACCATATGAATACATGAGTGTGTGTATGTGTAGACATTATAATTATGCACGAAAATGGGTCTATACATACTCTCGTGGGGGGGTGTGGTTCAAGTTTAATCAGAAAGGTCAATAGCAAAGTTTGAACTGCACAGATAAGGAGCAAATCTGCAGGGACCACAAGGACAGTAAAAAAGCAGAGAAAGGAGGCAGGTTTTTGCTTATATTTTGCTTCTTCCTGAGACAGGAAGCAACAAATGCATGCTGTTTGCTTGCAGAAGCAGTCACCCATGGTGATGCTCTGCTTTCTCAAAAACTTTTACCCTTCATTTAATCAACAGATGGACGTGCTCTGTTGTGGATTTTTCTGAAAGTCCTGTCCCTGTAAGAGCTGTGCTGGCTGGCACAAATGCTGCCTCAGACGGCAGAGGCGGCATTGGCATTCCAAAAGAGTGGGAAGGAACCCATTTACTTGTCCCCTTCAAACTCAATTCCACAGGTGACTTTTGATGCCAATAGCTAAGTAAGCACTCACAATCCCTCTCAGGAATTTCTCTCTTCTCCCTTTACCACCCTCAGCCCCATGGCTCCTAGTGGCAGGGAGCCCAGGGGTGCAAAGTTCTTTCCCGAGAGTCCACCGGCTTCTCTGCCCCTGCCAGGCTGCAGAAAGCAAACAATCAGCACCAGGGGTGAAATTCCATTTTATGCCCTGAATCCAGTGCTGTGTAGGATTTAGAATTCAGTCTTATTTAGGAAACTGTACATTCAATGAAACTCTTTACAAGCTTTCCCCAGCCACTGCATATTACCCCCACAGTACATTCTGTAATTGCAACCCCTTCTACAACCCTTGCAAACTGCACACGTTGGCTTTTGAATACACTCATGCAAGATAGACCTTATTGGAACTGAAATATCCATTTAAGAAAGGCTTCCTTTTCTGCCCCTCTCTTTCCCCAACCTGGGTGTGGAGAGAAGGCGCCCTGAAGTTCCAAACGGCATGGCCACATACATACTACCCAATTAACACACCAGGAGAATAAAGAACTCATTTGCATCGGAGAGTTTGAGTTGGATGTTGACAAGTGAGAGCAGAAAGTCGCTCCCCCCCCCCCACCACCCTCTCAATCCCTTCCTTCCAAAGGAAAATAAACAGTACCATTCTGTTGCGTTTGCAAAGGCAAAAAGGCAACTCCAGAGCATCTCGGTCCGGCACCGAGGGAACCATCAATCAGTGCGAGTTTCCGAGGTCTGCCCACATTCCTACCCTCTGCCTCCCGCGCCCTAACAACCCCGCCGACTTTGCTCCAACTCCAGCAGCGCGCCGGTCCTACCTTGACTGAAAAGGAAGAAGCAAAGGAAGAGCAAATCGAGCTGGAAAGGTTTCATTCCTCAGCACAGCAAGGGAGAGCCGGCGGGCAACTTGGGGGTGTAGTTAGTTTCTCTTCCTCGGCGGCTCGCGGTGCTCAGCCTCCAACGCCGGTCCTCTCCGATTCGTGCCGACCATCTGTCTGTCCACCCGTCGGTCCCTTCGGGTGGTTTCCGTCTCTTTGTGTCTCCGGGTTTCTGCAGCCAGCTGAGACAAATTGCCTGTTTTTAACTGCCTCGGGAAGCCGGGATCCTCAGCAATGTCCCCACTCGGAGCAGATCCATTCTCTGGCTCTTGGCATCCCAGGCACACGGCTTCCTCCGGCGGGCTCCTCCCACAGCGAGCGAGCGAACGAGTGACGAGTGACAGAAGGGCTCCTTTCACAGAAGCTGGGGCGGGGGGAGAGGGAGGGGAAACAGGTCATAATTAAAGAGGAAATACTTGGAAAAAGGAGATCTTTGCAAAACAGAGGCTGGGGGAAAGGCTGTGTTCTTTCCTTCTTTTCCCTAAATAGGAGGATATTCAGCTTTTGTCACCATTATTGATTTTTTTTTAAAAAATCGTGAACGCGGAGCAGAGCTGTGACTTTTTGTCCACACGATGTAATGTTGTTTAAGGGAAGTGAAGTTAAAGATGACTATATGCATGCAAACGTATTAAAATGTGCATGCCTTGCCTTTGCGTAAGAAACTAGAAACTGGGCTGAGAAGGAGCTTGGGAGGGGAACAGGGGCACGGGGTAGGGTGGGTGGGAGGGGAAATCTTTCTCCAGCAAGGACTTGGCCAATGTGAGCAGCAGGAGGCTAGGGAGTTGAAGAGGATAAGCATGCTTTGCATTTTTGAGACTTTCCAACAGGGGTAGGTAATAAAACCTGAAGGTTTGGATATTAGTTTGCTTTGCATTGCTCTGAGAAAACCAAATGCTGGAATGGGAGAGAAAACAAGTAGGTTTATGACACATACCCATTTATTATTATTATCCTGGTCTGTGCATTTCCTAACAAGAACAGGAGAGCAGGCTGTCTTTGTATTTGGAGCTTCTGCACTAATGAGCACTCCGTCACTCTGAGCATCTTTTCTCCAAAAGGTGCTGTGAGTCTGATTTCGAAGGAGAGGCCAAGGTCATAGGCAACCACCTCCTAAGAACCTTCAGGTCTTTTACCTGTCATGAAATTCACACTCAAATCAAACTCAATTTCCTCCAGGATATCAACATGAATTTATCTAGGTCCATTTATTTGATAGACATTTAGGCATGCCTGGAATAAGCAGGCCACAGGGGGAAATAAAATAGTAAGCACAGACCATGCCTTCAGGAGCCCATAATCTATAGAGTGCAAGCAGAGTATACACACTAGACACCAACTATAAGGATATTACAAAGCAACGTTTAAAAATATGCAGCATTATATGAAGTAGACCAAGGGGGGTAAAGAGAGATGAGAGAAAACTGAAATATGCTCTCTGGAAGTATACCATTCACCATTCAATTATAAAACAATCATTACTTTCTTCAGTCCCTGGACCTTAGGAAGGTCTTTTGGGAGCCTCTTAGCCTTTTCTCCATCAATATCACAAATTGAGGGTCTTTACTAACTGCAAGGTACATTACGACTTGGAGTTTTCATGCGGATCTTAACTTCAAAAAATTATCCTTTGGTATTTATGAACAAGGAAAAAAAAGCATGGGCACAGGTAAAAGGGTATGTCGGTAGGAGCTGACACCGTAGTTGACATCCAAGATCTACCAATTAGTAGGTGTCTGCTTTGTTGACTTTTCAACTTAATAGTTTATTAAACTGTATTCCTTAGAGCCTGTTAAACATATCAAAGGGGAATTTGTAAGCAAGCTTTGGGGTGGGGGTGTGTGTGGTGGAGGTGGATGCTGAGCAGCAGAAACTAAGAGGACACAAAAGAGGCAACCCATCAGCTAAATTAACAAACAAGGTACAGAAGTAACCGTGTCAGCACAGCCTTAGCCCATTAGCTTGGTATGACAGATAATGCAATGAAACACAAGAGGCAAATCAGAAACACACACAAAAGATGAATAATAATTTCAAACAACATATGACAAATAACATATTAAGACTGGAAATACGAAAATATGGCATGTAATGGTAAATAGTAGCTTTCTACTAAATCTGTGGGGGTTTGGGGGGAATAAAAGGTCTGGGAACAACTCCTAAGGCTAAATCTTACAATGAGTACAACTAGTATCAGAATGTAGATGGTACCTGCCTGAGCAACAATTGATGTTTTAACTAAAGATTTATCCTTTAAGCTGTTGTTTAATTTTGGTTGCTAATTCCTAAATGGCCCGGGTCCCAGATTTGCTTTAATTCAACCCCCAAGGGAAATACTGCAAACCCAGGGTCAGGAGGCTAGTGAACTGTGCAATGTCTGGTAATCAGGCACACGAATAGGCATATGCGCACCACACTCGCACATCACATCCTCTCTTGGAAAGGAGAAAAGTGGGGAGTGGGAGTCCGAGGTTGGAAGGATTTTGTTTCGCTCTCCCACTGGTCCCGAGCCTAGCCTCATGATTCCCAAACTGGTTCCGGACCCCCCCACCCCCACCCCAAAAGCCACCTGGGCCTGTTCCCTTTTCCGCGCCCCCTCCGCCCCATCCCCGCAGCCTCCGGTCTCAGGCAGAAAGGGAAAAAGCTTGGATTAAGTGATGAGCTGCCCGCCTCTAAAAGGACCAGGAGGCGTTTCAACCCTGAGTGCCGGAAAACCCCCGGCAATCTTCAGTGGCCACCACGTGGGGGCAGAGAACGGGAGCGGTACCTGCAGGACCCACAGCCGGCCGGGCTCTGGCGCCAGCCCCGACGGCGACCCCGCCATCTCCGCCCGGCCAGCTCGTGGCCTCACCTCCTCCGGGGGCTCGGTTAACCTCCTGGCGCTGCAAGGTGGCCTGCGCGCAGTTCGCTCTCGAGGAGGGAGGGGGGAGGCGGCGAGGAGCGGACGGCTCCACCTGATGGAGAAGCGTGGAGAGTCCTTAGACCTTGGAGTGCGCTGCAAGGGGAAGCAAGGAGGGAGACCACGGTCTCCGCTGGAAACCTCCGCGTCTGTGGGATGGCGCTCGGGGGACCGGGTCTCTGCGCACAGTCGGTGGAGCTAACAGCCCAAAGAGACAGCCGAAAACCATCAACTTGGAAAGCCGCCCCAATTCTGATTTTCTGTGCGTCCAGGCTCCAGGTCTCTGTTGCGCCCACCATGCAAGCCAGGGTCCCTCACCAGCAGGTGGCATCCTCTCCAGCGTTTCTTCTACAGGCTTGTAGCCCAGGAGGTCGACTTCATCCGTCGCCAGTCCCCCTCCAGGCCTTCAATTCCAAGTGCTGTGTCCTTTGACCCGCCCCCAAGCCCCGTCTGCACCCCCTGCCTCGCGTCCCAGGGGACCAGCAGGAGTGGGATTGCGGAAAGCAGTGAGGAAGTCGGAGCCCACAGAGAATGCGGGGTGGCTCCAGATTCTGCTACTAGCTGGCCAAGAAGTTACAGAAGGGCAAGGCTGGGACAGCTTCCAAGTCCTGCTCTCCTAGCAGCAAGTGTGCCCCCACCCCCAGCCTCATGTGTCTGAGATCTGGGAAAGAGTGAAGCATGAAGTCCTGGATCCTGCTGCAGGATTGATGGGTACTGTTGTTCAGTGCCTTAAACTGTCTAACATTCAGTCTCTATGAAGACGCAGCTCATGTTCACCTTCGGTGACCTTGGGGGCTGTCAGTTCAATATCAATAACATTTACTATTCCGTTGATTTGGGCAAAGCCCTGTTTAGAGTACTTAAAGATGTGTGGGATGAATGCATAGATTCCTGTTCTTGAAAAGTTTATCCTTTACTTGGGGAGGATACAAAGGTACATATGTGTGTGTGGGGGGGAAATATAAGGCATATTATTGGCTTTTTAATAAGACAGAAATTGCCCTAAAGGTCATCTGTCAGGACCCTTTCTTTCTAGATGGCTCCTTCTGGGTGGACTTTCCTGAGGCTTTTCAGGAAGCTGCAGGGCTCAGATGCCAGTCCAGGGCCCTGACCATTAGCCCAGTGTGTCTGCTCTTTCTCTACTGCTCATGTTGGGCCAAGCTCCCTTTAACTGTCTGGAAGTATTCATGTGTACTATCACCACAGATAAGGAGAGGGAGTGGTTCTTTTGTGAGACAGGCAGTCATCACCAACAGAGAATTTCCTGCTTAATGCTTCTTTGCAATATTTGTTGCACAGATACATTATAAACCACATTCTCTTTTTGTTTTTTATGCATCCTGCCTGTACTGGATAAAACCTCCTTGCCCAGAGATTTAACACATTTTGAACAGGCCCCTAGTGGGAATTCAGGGTAACCTGCCTCTCTAGTCCTGGGTAAGTTAATAAAGGCTTGAAGCTACATACACATCCAAAGACCAAATGGTCTTTAGAGGTCCTCTCTGGGTGGCAGCTACCTGACCTGGGCAGTCACAATCTTCCAGCCTATTTCTTTTTCATTTCTCTGAACCAAATTTCTTGCTCACATCCGTGTAGGTGGATTACAAGACCTTAACCCCTGTTCACCGTGGTTGGTCTCTCTCTATTGCCAGCGGAAAGGGCCCAAAGAACCAGGTGTTCAGCTTTTTAGAAGCATCCTCCAAAGAGCAAGACGTCCACCTCACTGATTCATGCAAGACTAGGCTTGACTGAGGGAATCATAGTGAGCCTTTGGACCTGGCTCTGGTCTGGCCAAGACTGTGATAGTCATTTAATGAACCTAGGCCCATCTTTCTTTATCTATAAAATGACTGGTTTGAGCCAGTGGATCTTTTCAATCTCTCTCAACCCTAAAATCCTATTATGCCTTTTCCAGAGTCCACAGCTTTCAGCACAGTCAGATTTAGAAGAGCTTCTCCAATGCCATCCGTGTTACAGGCAGATTATTTTGATTGATCAGTTCCTACCTCCAAGGAAACAAATAATGATGCTGATATTTGTATGGGCCTCTGTGCTCTTCTGGGTTCCAATTTCTCTCCAAGCTGTTTTTCATCTTCTTTCTTCTCTGGATGTCCTAAATCTTTCCCTAACTTACGCAACTTGTGTGTTTCCCTTCTCTTTTTATTTTTCCTAGCATCATACTCATATTCAACCTGGGGTCTGGGTTCCAGAATAGATTTTCTTCAATTTACATTCTCTCATAGTGTTAGATGAAAACTTCTATTAGTGGGCGGAAATGGTGAAGCCAGTGTGGCTAATTAGAAAGGGCTTCTATTAAAGGAGGTGAATATCGAGGTACTTGGTACTTTCTCCATCTTGGTGTGAATCACATTTTACTGTAATACAGTCATGTATCTTCTATAATACCCCGGCAGCTCCATGAGGACAGGAAGAGTGTCTCCCTAGTTCACCTATGTCCCCAGATCTCACTCTGGTTGGCAGAAGACCGCCAACACACACTGTTGAAAAAATACCAAAGCTTTACCTAGTGCCCCATATCCCACTTCCTGTTTTCTGAATCCAATTTAACTTATTCTTCGCACTGTTATTAAACCATTGTCAAACATCTGGCATGTGCTTGCCACTGCTCTGGCTGTATTTTATGGGGATGCGTAATGAATTGAGACTATATATAGTTTACAAAATGTGGAACACACTTTAAGATGCATGGCATTATAGAAATGAAAGATATTTTTATCTCTCAGCATCATTCTGCACAAGGATACGATTCTCTGGCAGTACTCTTTAAGAACAATACCGTGTTTAGCCTTAACATAATCATATGTGCAGGGCACTGGGTATTCAGTTCACATGGGAGTGGCATTATCTCACTTGGGAAAGACCTAAAGAGCATACACTTTACAGGGAATAAAAGACCTGAGAAACGATGTGAAAGGAGGTAGCAGTGCCCCTGTGCCATTTTTCATTGGTGGCCAAGTGCACAGGCCAGAACCTGCATTCAAACTTCAGGAATGGCACCGAAAACAAGCCTCAGGATCCCTCTTCAGTGTTTGGAACAGTCTACTGTCATTTTGGAAGGCACCATGTGCTCTTTTTGTGTTTATGAACAGGCTAATTCTGTGGAAAATATTGGAAGACAAATTGAAATTCCAGTTATGTGACTCATTTGTAGTATTCAAAGTAAGAGAATTATATGACATTTATTTTTTTCCTCTATTATTCTTTTCCATGTCCTCCGCACTGCCCCTCCCACACATTACTCCTGTGTTATAAATTAGTAAAATTTTATAGCATCCAAAGGAGCAGGTGCATCTCTCTTGAAGTCCCTGTAAGTATTCTTCCTTGATGACAAATTTCCCTTTCTCATTTCTGTATATTATACAAATATTCTTTTCATATAATATATATATATATTCACCCAAATAGACGCAAAGTTATAACATATGAAGTTCTATAAATTTATATATACACAAAACATTTTACACACATACATAAAACTTTTCATTAGTAAGCTAGCAAATCTGTCTCCTACTCAAATATTCCAAACTCTTTGATCCTAGACCAGGTTTTTAAATTATGTCCCCTTGAACTCATGCATCCTCAACTCTTTGCCTGGTATCCAGGCTATAAAGCCCCTTCCACTGTCTAGCCTAACTGTTCTGCCAGATAGATCTGTTTGAAATTCAGTTCTGTAATATCTTTCCCATACTTAAAAATGCAGATGATCTCTGTGTTAGTCTGCTTGGGCTGTCATAACAAAATACCATATACTGATGGCTTGAATAATAGAACACTGTTTTCTTACATTTCTGGAGGCTACAAGTCCAAGATCATGGTGCCAGCACATCATATTCTGGTGATGGTTTCCTTCCTGGACTGTAGATAGTCACTTCTCTTAAGTACTCACATGGCCTTTCCTTGGGTGTGGGACATCACTCTCTTCTAAGGCTGCCGATCCTATTGGACTTGGATCTCATCTGTAATGACCCCATTTAACCTAAATTACTTCCTAAATGCTTGGTCTCCATATTCAGTCACATAAGGCATTGGGATTTAGCATATACATTTGAGGGGGATATAGTTCAGTCCATAGCCATTCCCAAGATAGAGCATATTCTTTTATCCTGATATAGGGGTTGGTCAAACCAACATTCCTTTCCTATATTGGCAGCTGTCTCCTTCAAAGTCCAAATTCTTAGTCTTATCAAATGACTCGACTAATTAGAGACAGCAGTCACGTTTACTTTTCCATTTCTTTCTTATTCCATTTCTTCTTCCTAGCATATGTTCAATACTTTGCTGTTTGTCTAACAAATGGGTGCCTATTTCAAGAATCAGTACGAAAGTCCAGTTAGTCAACTTTCTTTTACTGTAACTAATACCTGAGATCAACTTATAAAGGAAAAAGGTTTATTTTAGCTCACAGTTTTGGAGGTTTCAGTCTGTGATCAATTGACCCTATTATTGTGCTGCCTGTGGTGAGGCAGCACACCATGACAGAAACACCGGCAGAGCAAACATAGTCACCTCGTGTGTCAGGGAGCAAAGAGGAAGAACGGGTGCTCACAATTCCCTTCAAAACTATATCCCCAATGCCCTGAGATCCTCCCACAAGAACTTACTTCTCAAAGGTTCTTCCACTTCCCCATAGCACCATGGACCCGGACCAAACCTTTAACACATGAGCATGTGGAAGACACTTATCCAAAACATAGCCAATGCCATCCAGGAGGAGTTTGTGTCATTCTTCTTCCACTCAGTTTAAAATGAATAATTTACTCATCTAGGGTTTCACAGCATTCTTATAATGTCTTGTTATTTACTTGTTAATATTATAACAATTTACCTGTATCCCATCTAAACTAGATGTGAGAGCTTCAAGGCCAAGGTCCATCTTTTTGGAATTTAAACTTGCATATCTCAGAGTTTATAAAACTCAATGCCTAGAACATAGTAATTGTTTGCTAAGTGGTATTTGAAGGAAGTAAAAATTCAGTTGAAACTCCTAGTACCCTTCCTGTACCCATCTAGTCTCAAGCTCAAAAGTTTTTTTCTTCATCATCTGATGCCTTTTGACCCAACTAGATCCAGGAAACTTCATGTTGATTTTCTTGAAACAGATGCATCTGAAGGGATAGAGAGAAAGATTTCTGACTATACACTATACATTTTGAATCCAACCAGAATTGCAGGCAAATGTGGGAGGTGGTGCCATCAATCTGTATAAATCACCACCTAAGTCTAGCTCTTGC